TTTCCACGACATTCTAATTTATTGAGATGCACCTGTATATCTTGGGTATGTTTGTGTGCATTAAATTGCGTTTTACTGCCTTTACATTTTCTTTTTGTTATATGATTGTTATTATGATTACATTTGTTATTAAGAGGACAGCGCTCAAACTTCTGTAACTGAGTTCAAACCCGTGAATGATGTTGTGTAATAAGAGAACCCTCACTGACTCCGCCGCTGCTGTATGCGCAGGCCAGTCTGGAGCCGTGCTGGGCCTGCGGGGACGTCATCAAGGACCATGTGATCCGAGCGCTGGAACGAGCCTATCACCCGCCGTGTTTCGTGTGCGCGACGTGCAGACAGCCAATCGGAGAGCAGAGGTTTGCGCAGGGCGAAGTGGGCGAGGTTTACTGCCTGCGGGACTACTACAGGTGCGCAGCCGCTGGCTCGAAGTCGTCTGCTCTTTCATAACGTCCTCAGAACATTAGCACAATAATGCTTTCAGGTGGATTTTTTTTAAACGTCACTAGTTTCAGAGAACATGCAGAAGTAACGTTTCCACAGTGTTTGCAAAATGATACAATGATACAATGGAATGTTGTTTTTAAACTCTGAGAACATTCAAAAGTAACATTAGCCAAGCGTGGCGTGTCTGCAGGAAGTACGCGCCGCAGTGTCACGTGTGCGGGGAGCTGATCATCCCGCGCGAGGACGGCACCGACAGCTACACGGTGGAGTGCTTGGGCCACTCGTACCACGAGGACTGCTACCGCTGTGAGGTGCGTGCTTACAGTAACATACTAGTCCGCTTGCTATGCACTGCTTTCAAATGCACGAGAAACCCTGGCCCTCTTCAGCAGCCAGCCATCTGAGTCATCAGTATTAAAGGAACTGGAGGTGTGTTTCAGGTGTGCAGTGTGCTGCTGTCTCCGGAGCCCAACGACACCGGCTGCCACCCGCTGGATGGACAGATCCTGTGCAAACCGTGCCACGAGTCGCTGATGCAGAGCGCGCCGCGTTAAACCATGTGATGAGGATGAGGATGATGAGGATGAGGATGATGACGACACACCGATTGTATTAGAAACCGCAGCGTTGGGACCATTAATGCTTTCTTACCCTGACACATCTCAGAGACGTCTGCTGCTCATCTGCTATACAGCTACAGGACAGCACAGCAGATGAAGAGAGCTTTAACACACGTCTCTGCTCTGATTATATCAATGTATCCGACATATCAACTGTAATGTGGTCTTTTGCACTCTTTCTTGTAATATGCGCCAAATGCAAAGCACCAAAGATATTTATTCAGCAGCAGCAGCACCAAACCCCCATATTCAGTGTTATTTCCAGTGTAATAGGAACACACCCGACTCAAATAAACGACTAATATATGATATCTCGTGCTTGACTGCTTTGTGTCCGCTGTGATATTTATCTGCATCAAGTGATATTAATAAACACGGCCATTAGTGATGTTTGCGTGAGCGTGATGACGCAGAGTTGCGTGCTCGCCACCGAGGGCTCCTTAGCGCGCTCCCGCTCGCGCACGCGCAGGGCCGCGAGATCGTTGTGCTGTCACGCGCTTCGCCTCACGGTCAGATTAAACGACGCGAAGCCGCTTCTGCGCAGGAACGGGACGCGGACGACGCAGGATGGTTCGGGAGACCAGACACCTCTGGGTGGGGAATTTACCCGAGCATGTTCGCGAGGAGAAGATTGTGGAGCATTTTAAACGGTGAGTTACACAAGAAGTGCAGCTGCGCGCGCAGCGACGCGGCCTCAGCCCGCCTCAGCGACGAAAGCCGCTCAGAACACGATCTAGCCTTCCGAACCGAGCCGAACCCTCCTCCGCTGAGCCGCCGGCTCGCCGACACGGTCAGTTCGGCAGTTAGCTGGCTGCTTCGCCGCGGACTAGTTCTCGGTTAACGCGCGGAATCCGTGCTAATGTTCACCGAAAGCGCCCGTGTTCGG